GAGCACCTTAGAATGTCCTACATAGAGTGGGAGAAAAATGTGGAACAAAACTAAAAATCATAAAAAAAAGACCAGCTCACTAGTCAGAGAGTGGCGGAACCTCTGGAATGATGGTCCTTCGTCATTCTTCAGAACTAGAATGGAACTCACCCTCAGGACTCAATTTTGAGGCAAGCAATATATATGTTTATAAGGTGAAAAATAACACCGTGACGTATGTAGTCTTTAGAACAATCAACCAATGGAGATCCAAAGAGCACCATTTGACCAAAGACAAAGTTCAGAAGGCGGGAAGGTTAAGAAAGAACAGAAATGGGAGTCACAGAGAGGAAGTGGGATGAGTGAGGTTACGTTGTAGAGATTGCAATCAAGGACTTGAGACAAAATGTGTATGAATTGTTGAATGGGTAACTGATTTGCTCTGTAAACTTTCATTCAAATCACAATTAAAAAGTTAAGAAAAAAAGAATCAATCACCTGAAAGTTTACAATTTCAGCTTCCTTGTTTTAAAATAAATAGCAACCAAATAAGTAGTAAAACAAATTTGTATAAAATTTTACCTTGAGTTAATCAATGTTTGATATTCTTTTGAATGTTTTACATTGCCGTCTGATCAATGGAACCTCTGAGTATTACATCATTCTCTGGTAACTCTTTGTAGAAAGGCTTGGTATGTTTTAGGAGATTATAGGCAATATATGGCTAATTACAAGGAACATATAAGATAGATTAGCCTATTAATATGTCTCCTTATCCTGGTTTAGGCAAAAGTACCAGCTAGATGAAATAGCTGGGAATTTTGTGGAGTAATTTCAGAGGCAAGCCTAAAACCTCATCTTCTTCAGCTCTTAGCTGGTACTTGTAATTTCTACCAGCGATTTTTACCTCCTTTAGCATAAGACTTTGATTACCATTGAAATGGAATACTTCACCACCACCCCAGCCAACACTGGCACTCTCAACAAAGGTGCCATTTGAAGATGTAACCACTCAAACTTTCATCATTAAGGGCTCAATATATCTTTCCTATAGCCACCATTGTTTAAAAGTTTTGTTTAAAGCTGAATTAATTTATAAGCCTTTTCACTACATCTTTGTAAGTAATAAAAATACATAGTTTGATAAAACTTTTTAAGGAAGAAAACAAAAATAGAAATATTGGGGAAAATTGTAGATCTGAATTTATTAAAGTGTTTAAAGTAATTTTATAGTCATTTTGACAAAAAAATAAAATTAAAAGGCAAATAGTAAACTAAAATATTTGTGGAATATCTATAAAAAAATAATATCTTAATAGTAAAGTGTCCTTAAGAATTAATAGTCAGTAGATGGAAGACCCCATAGAAAAATGATTAAAGGATATAGACAGGCAATTGAGAGAGAAAAAACATATCAATGGTTAATTCATAAAGAAACAATGGCCCACTCCATTAAATATCAACAGATGCATTTTTACTGTAGCAATTAAATAAAGATAAAAAGTGTGACACACTGTCTTGCCACGAGAGAGGAAATGCACACACGTCAATTTAGTGAGATGAGTTTGGGTATAAAGAACAAAGTTTTTAAAGTGTACATTTATAGTGATATATCTTAAATAAATTATTATTTATACCAACAAAATATTGGAAAAAATTTGGCTGTCATATAGTAGTGAACATTGAAAACTTCTACAAAATGCAATGTCAAAAGTACATTTTTCAAAGTTGACATAAAAATACTCCAGTCACATGAAAATATATTTATGATAATTATTGAGTATTGGGTTATAAAACAATATGTACTGTACATACAGTTTTTTATATATATATATATATATATATATTTTTTTTTTTTAATTAGAAAACAGAATAATAGTAACTACATATGTTATGTTACTATATATAATTAATATCTCTGTTTATACTCATTAAAGAGCATTTTTAATTTATCATATTATTTATTTCATTTTTACCTTTATTTTTAATTTTATTTTTATTTTAAAAAACTTTTTATTATGATTTGTGTAAAATTTTACATAATAAATTAGTTATCTATTGAGCGGTTCTTACACATTTTATTTCATGACATTGATTACCATCCCCACAGTATAACAGCATTTTCCCATTTTGTCCCTGTGTTTACCATTTCCCTTTGTTCCTTTTAAAATTGAAAATAAATAGAATCTTATCAATTCAAAAGAATGTTATTTTTTTGAATTTTTTTTCAATGAACGAGGTGTTGGTGTTGTATACTCTGGAGTGGATTCCGGCTCCTAGCAACCTCTACAGCACACAGTAGAGCTGCCACATAGGGTTTCCTAGGCTGGAACCTTTATGGAAGCAGGTTATCAGGTCTTTTCCCCTGCAGAACACCACGTGGATCTGAACTGCCAATCTTTTAGTTAGCAACCAAATACTTAACTGCTGCCCCAGTTCATTAAAGAAAAACAAAATACCTCAGAAAATACAATTTATAATGAATAAAAGGATTCTTGCCCAGAAAAAGTGACTACTAATATTGGTGTAAGGAGCTCCGGTAGCGTAGCGCCTAAGACACTTGACTGCTAACCAGAAGGCTGATGGTTCAAACTCACCAGCCACTCCTCGGAAGGAAGGTTGGGCAATCTACTTCCATAGTGATACCTCCTCAGAAACCCAAGAAGGGGTCACTCTGAGTCGGGTCGGACTTGACCACACATAAGAACAACACCACCACCACCGTAGGCCTGTAAACGTTTTCTTGTGTTACACTTTTTCAACAGTATAATTGATCTCTATGGAAGTGGTATTAAAAAATAATTTCAGGCCCTATTGTATCTTTCTTTAATTCCAAGTAAAGAAACAGAATTTTGAACAGTTAATGTTTACACTGTCTGTCTGGAGAAAGGGGAACAATTACCTTAGAATTCTCAAATGGAGGAGATAAAATGAGAGTACTTAACTGACTTTGATGAACAAAGGGAAGTATAGACAGAAAGAACTGAAGACAGACTTTACCCGCTTGACTATTTTGCGTATGGTGGGAAAGCATCTTTATTACTGTTAGTTGAGGCAATTCCAAATCATGGTGACATCATGTGTGCAGAGTACAACAACTTCAGAGGATTTTCAAGGTTGTGACCTTAAGAAGCAGATCATCAGGCAGGTCTTCTGAGGATCCTCTGACTGGATTCAAACTGTCAACCTTTCAGCTAGTAGTCAAGTGCTTAACTGATGCACCACCCAGGGAAATCAACTTACTGCCCGACAGTGACTGCTTGTCTTTTCTTCCTGAAACAGTGCTACATGACTTACCTTTCTCCCAAGCCAAGTGTTTTTGAAATTTCTCTCAAGAAAATAAATCACTTCCATTTCTTAATCAGTAGAATCCAAACTAGGGTGCACATGCATATTACAGTAGGTGAGATGCTAGAATAAGAGGAAAGCATTAGCAGTTCTCTTGATAATTATGAAATCTTCTGTCTTAGATTTCTATTCTATATTATATTGTATACAATTATTCAGTGTAGTACTATATGGTTATTATTTACAGGAAAATGAATATATCTGTTTGTAGCCTTCTGCAGTTAGAAAAATAAAATGAAAAAAATTGGAGATCACATTTCTAAAGGTAAGGTCCCTATGTTTTTGCATGCAGGTATTCTTTATTTTTGCATCCTGTTTAGTTTCTTCATAATGATCTTGGTAATTTAATTTTCATGCTAAGTCAAAACTTGAAAATTTACCAAAACCAATTCTGCTTTTATTTCTCAGATAAAAAAAAAAAAAAAATCTGAGGCACTTAAGAAACAGTTTTTCTGAAGTTTTCTCCAAAGTACATAGAGTTAATTAGTTTCCAAAATAAAAGCACTTCTCTTAACTAATATGAAACTAAACATACATTAGATCTAAAAATATTATTGGAAACCAAGTATGAGCAATGTGATTTGGGAAAAAAAAATGAACAAAATATGATTCCTTTCTTTCAGGAATATAAAATGAGTTTTTATAAATTATAGAGAAGATTCATCATATCAACAAACAAACTATTTTTTGTACTTCATACTGACCATATATTAAATTCACTTAATTTCAGACTCACTGGTTGAAGAAGAACCATGATGACTTTACAAATAATCTACATAAAGAATTGTCTAATAAAAAGTTAAAAATACGATATTAACTCAAATATTCACATACTTGAATTTAAATAAATGCCACTAAAATGTGTGAAGTATCTCATTCTATTAAATAGGAATTATGTCTATCATTATTAATTTCTCTATAGAAATGTTCCCATGATAGATGGAAAAAAGGCATAGTACCTAGTATCTCTTGAACATGTACAATGGGCCAGGCACTGCTCTAAATATTTCACCTTTTATAACTCTTCATTCATATAATAATCCTATGAGGCATATATTATTATCCCTCCAATTCACAGATGCAAACAGAGACTCAGAGAGCTTAACGCTAGGGATTATGAGAAAGAATTTGAAACCTTGATATAAATTTGACTCTAGAGTTTCATTGTCCTATTCATTATGAATATCAAAATGTTGGAGAGTGAGGTACAAAAATTGTATTTTTAGAATATAGTGTTCATGCTGGAAGGCAGAGGGGAAAGCCATAGTGTATAGAATAACTATGAAAAATATGATTGCAGGCAATACGCATTTTCATGCTTATGAGCATCTAAAGGACCCCTGTGCAGCATTGGTTAAGCACTAGGCTTAATTGAAAGGTCAGTGATTTGAGCGCACCAGTAGCTCCACAGAAGAAAAACATGGTGATCTTCTTATGTAACGATTATAGCCTAGTAAACCCTGTGGTGCAGTTGTACACTGTCCTATAGGACATACTGAGCCAGAATATGGCAAAAACAACAACAATATGATGACCTAAAGTATGTAAGTGTATAGAGTGAGATTTAATGCCAAACTTGGCTTTGCTCATTACTCTCACAGTCTTGGGATGTTATTTCCATTTCCATTTGACTTTACAGGAATATTCTGATCTGATTTCAGAAACTTGAAATCATGGACCAAGGAAATACCTCAAGAGTGACTGAATTTGTATTGCATGGTCTTTCAGGTCCTCGAGAGCTACAACTATTCTATTTTATATTTTTCACACTTTTGTATTTGTCCACTGTGGTGGGAAACCTCCTCATTGTGCTCACAGTCCTCTCTGAACCTGCCCTCCACACCCCCATGTACTTCTTGCTTAGCAACCTCTCCTTTATTGATGCCTGTCTGTCCACTTTTGCCACTCCCAAAATGATAGTTGACTTCCTCATGGAGCAGAAGACCATCTCCTTTGAGGGCTGCATGGCCCAGATATTCTTTCAGCATACCTTTGCAGGTGGGGAAATGATGCTCCTCATGGCCATGGCATATGACAGGTATGTAGCCATATGTCGACCCCTGCACTATGCAGCTATCATGAGTATACGCAAGTGCATAGGGCTCGTGGTGGGGTCCTGGCTCATCGGGGTCCTGCACTCAGTAAGCCAATTTGTCTTCATAGTAAACCTTTCTTTCTGTGGTCCAAACCATGTGGACAACTTTTTCTGTGACCTTCTCTTAGTTATTAAACTTGCCTGCACTGATATCTATATACTTGAGGTACTGATGCTTTCATACAGTGATATAATGAGTATTAGCTCTTTTTTGCTCTTGCTCATCTCCTATACAGTCATCCTGGTCACTGTGCGACGTCGAACCTCAGCAGGCATGGCCAAGGCCCGGGCTACCCTGACTGCCCATGTCACTGTGGTGACTCTCTTCTTTGGGCCATGCATCTTCATCTATGTCTGGCCTTTCAACAACTTCCCTGTCAATAAGCTTCTCTCAGTATTCTACACTGTTTTCACTCCTCTCCTAAACCCCTTGATCTACACATTGAGGAATAAGGAGGTAATATCGGCAATGCAGAAACTGAGGAGGTGAAAAGTAAATTCCTAACAGTTTCTTGGCTTTCCCTTGTGATAATGACAACCATAATAAAAGCACTCATGCATATTCTTTTCCATTCAAACTATTTCTATTTGAAGTAAGAAGTTAAGTAGATTATTTTTTTGTGTGTATAGGAATGCTGTTTCTTGAAATAAGAACTCTCACTACAAAGTATCCAAACTTTAACTGTACCCAGAAACCAAATAAGAGATTTTCAGCAATGCTACTAAATATATGCCTCTGTTATATGTATTCTTTTGCCTATCTCCAGGCTGGCTAAGACACTTGCCTGCTAACCAGACGGCTGGCGGTTCAAACCCACCAGCCACTCCTCGGAAGGAAGGTTGGGCAATCCTACTTCTGTAGTGATACTGCCTTGGAAACCCAAGGAGGGGTCGCTATGAGTCGGGCTTGACTCGACGGCACATAACAACAACAACAACAGCATCTCCGGGCCCTGACTTTTAATCTATAACACCTGTGATAGTTAAAGTTATGTGTCATCTTGGCTGGGCCATGATTCTTAGTGGTTTAGCAGTTATGATGTAGTCATCACCCATGATGTGAGTTGATACATTGTCCTCACTTGAATGATGAGATTTGATAGGAGCAGCTAATCAGTTGAAAGGGAATTTCCTTATGGGTGTGACCTACTTCCAATATTTGTGGATATTCTGGGAAAGCTCTCTGGGTTTTGGCTTAGTCTGGATTCGGCTTCTGGCTTGTCATCATCTGATCTTTGTTCTGTGGATTTAAGCCAGAGGCCTGCCATATTGCCTAATGATTGTAGGGTTCATTAGCTTACACGGCCTGTAACCAGCAGCTGTTCATCATCTTGGGTTTGTCACTCGCTGCAGCTATATGAGACAGGAAAAGTTTCCATCCTGATGTCTGACTACTGCTCAGGACTTACCAGCTTTTACAACCTCATGAGACGTTTCTTTGAGATAAATTTCTTCAAGTCTCTTTCTTTCTCTATCTCTCTGTGTCTGTCTCTGTCTCTTTCTCTCTCTGTCTCTCTCTCTCTCTCTCTCTATATATATATATATACTTATGTAAGGAGCTCTGGTGGTATAGTTGTTAAGGCATTTGGCTGCTAACCAAAAGGTGAGGGGTTCAAATTCCAAGTCACTCCATGGAAGAAAGAACCAGAAGTCTGCTTCCATAAAGATTTATAGCCTTGGAAACTTAATGGGGGTTACCGCAAGTCAGAATCAACTTGAAGGCAATGAGTTTGGGTTTTTGCATACGCATATGTAAGTTTTACTCATTTTGCCTCTCTAATCTGCTCCACCACCCAATATAAGAGAAGTGAGAATATATATTTTCCAAAGCTCTCAAACAGTGTAAGATCATTGTTTTGGCTTTTTATAAGAAGTCTACAGATTCAGGGTCCTTTGTGAATTACTATTATATATGAAATATTATATGAAATATTTTCTTTGTTTTTATAGTACTTATTATTATATCCCAAAACAAACTATCTTAGAAAACAGGAAAATGAGATTTCCCATCTTTACCTACAAAATAATTCTTATTTGACTGATACTAAAATTATGCTTGGGAGCTCTGGTAGCATAGTGCCTAAGGCACTTGACTGCTAACCAGAAGGCTGGCGGTTCAAACCCACCAGCCACTCCTCGGAAGGAAGGTTGGGCAATCTACTTCCGTAGTGATACTGCCTCGGCAACCCAAGGAGGGGTCACTATGAGTCAGATCCGACTCGACGGCACATAACAACAACAACATGGGTAGAAAAATTGTTTACTCTTAGCAATCTTAATCATGGGATTGTCCATATAGAATTCAGTTTGAATTTATAGTCTCTTCTTAGCAGTAGAGCTTTAATCTGGAAATTTCAATATAAAATATAGTTCACTCCCAAAGTCAATGAAATACTTGGGGCATTTGGAAAAATAAAGAAACAACCCCTCTGGTGGGTAATTCCCTTAACACTGGCTACATTGGATTTTGACACAAAAGTCCTGCTAAATTTGGATGCACAATTTATCCACAAAATATAAAAAAAAATCTACTGACAATGAACAAGAATTAGCAGGCAGAATAAATGGTAGACTAGCCTTCTCTTCCCTACTTCAGTGATTACTAAATGTATTGTATAAATCTTATGAAATTAGAATGTATGAGATGGTTAAATAGTCAAAGTGAATTACTATCAAAAGAGAGAAGCAGGTGAGTTATGCTCCCAGGAAGATGATTATTTTCTTCTTCTGTGTTCCTTCTGCTAAGTACCACTGAATGCGTGGGCATTTTCTATGAAACAAGTAAGATTCTAAGATTTAGAGTGAAGAGGGCAAACTAGTTAAGGACAGCCTGGTGGTAAGTTCCCTGGGATTTCTTTTTGCTCATATAAACATACAGGACTTGAAGGGGAAAAGGCAGCCATCCAGAAATGTCAAATGTTGCAGGAGACCAAAAGAAAGAGAAAGGGGGAGTGGACAGAGGGGAAATAAAAGGATATGAAGGGAGGAAGGCAGGAAGGAAGAAATGAAGGAAGACCTACTGTCTCTACTCATAAGACCAGGATGGAGGAAACCTAGGAAGACAGAAAAGTTTAGACAGTAACCAACCACTCTACTCCAGGCCAAGACCACAGAAAAAAAAATTCTTTGGCCCAAACTCATTCATGTCAATGAAGCCCAAGTGAGGACTCCTCTAGACTTCTACTCTCCCTTCACACATGGCCTTGCTCCTTCAAACTCCCTGGAGTGAGGTCAAACAAGGTCAAGCAGGGAGCCAGGATTTCACAACCAAGGAGTCAGTGGAAGCCTACCTCAACCTGGCAGTAACAAGGCAGTGCAACCACTATTCCTCTTCTGGTGCTACCTCAAAAAACAAAACAAAAAAAAAGCCAGCGAAAACATCCAAATTTCATGAAAAAAAAAAAAAATCACCAGTTATATAAAAAAGCAGGAACATTTCACCTTGAAAAAGGATAATCAGTTCCAACACCAAGGTGCCAAAGAAGTTAGAGTTATCTGACAAACATGTTAAAACAGTCATCATAAAAATGCTTCTATGAACAATTATGAACACAAATGAGAAAAGTAGAGAAAAAAAAATAGCACAGAACACTGAGCAAAGAATTCAGAGATATAAAGAAAAATTAAATAGAAATTATAGCAATAATCAAAATACAAACACAGAAATGGATGAGCTTCACAGCAGAATGGAGGATTTGAAGTAAAGAACAGTGAACTGATCAGAGAACATTAGAAACTATATAATCTGGGTGAAAAAAGATTAAAAATGAATGAAATGTGAAACATTTCACTCCTTAAATGTGAGCTCCCCATAGTGACTTTTTTTTTTTTTTTCCAAAAAGTAAAGAATGGAACGGAGGACAAAAGACTAAATTTACAGTGGAGAAAACTGACAAATACTATCTCAACCAGATAATCAAAGTCAACCTTAGCAGTCCTAAGCTATATTGACAATATATACCCTTCATATGATGTGATGAGAATAATACATTTTTCCTGTGGTCTTCCTCTATAAATCCATAACCCTAGTCTAATCGTGGGAAAAACATCAGGCAAATCTCAACTGAGGGCAATTTTATATCATGCGAAACCAGTACAACTCAAACTGTTAAAATCTTCAAAAACAAAGTCTGAGAAACTGTCGTAACCAAGAGGAACCTAAGAAGAAATGATTGGTAAATACAATAAGGTACTTTGGATAGGATCCTGGAATAGAAGAAATATGTAACCTAAAAAACTAAAGAAACATGAACCAGAAGTAAATTTTAGTTAAAATAATGTATTAATATTAGTTTATTAGTTGTGACAAGTATGTTATACTTAATGTAAAATTTAATAATAAAGGATGATGAGTGTATATGACAACTCCTTGCTTTATTAATTCTTTTTCTTGTGAATCTATAACTAATAATAAAAAATTCAAATATTGAACATACTTCAGAGAATGAGATCATAACAAAAGATCCAGCATTTGTGTCATCCAGGAGAATAGAATAAAGACAAAATTGAAACCACTTGAAATAATAGCTGAAAATATCCAAATTTACCAAAAAATATGTATCTCTAAATTTAAAAAGCTGATCAAACCTCAAAATAGGATAAATCCATGAAATTCATACAAAGAAATTCAGATGGCCAAATACTAAATGGTCAAACTTATAATAACTAAAGATAAAAGAAAAAATGAAAATAGTAAAAGAGAAAAAAATCTTACCTACAAGGGGGAAAAAAAGTATTAAAAAAAAAACATGACTTTATCATCAGAAGCCATGCAGACCCAAAGGAAGGGCGACAATATATTTCAAGTGCTAAAAGAAAAGAACTGTCAACTCAAAATCCTGTTGTTGTTGTTGTTATGTGCCAAGTCAGTCCCGACTCATAGCCACCCCTCCTTGGGTTTCTGAGGCAGTATCACTATGGAAGTAGGATTGCCCAACCTTCCTTCCGAGGAGTGGCTGGTGGGTTTGACCCGCCAGCCTTCTGGTTAGCAGTCAAGTGCTTTAGCCACTATGCTACCAGAGCTCAGAATCCTATACCCAACTAATATATCCTTCATGAATAAAGAGGAAATAAGACATTTTCAGGTTAAGAAAAACTAAGATAATTTATGACCAATAGACTGATGTTAGAAGAATGGTGAAAGGAATAAGTAGAAAGGATCCAGTAAAAGAAGGTATCTTGAAACATCTGGAAGGAAGGAAGAACATTGTAAGCAAAAATATAGGTGTTTACAATAAACTTCATCTCATCACTGGAGTAGTCCAGACCATCTTTAATGGTTGAATAAAAGTTTTAACACCATCTAATGTGATTTGAAATGTTATGTTGATGAATTATGTAAGACAATTCAATTATTAATGATCGGAGAGTAAAAGCACATAAATGTTTTTATGCTTCACTTTAAATGGAAAAATGATAACACAAGTTGACTGAGATAAATTATGTACATATAATAAATTATCTAGAGAAACCTGTACAAATGCTGTCAAA